TAAGGACAAATCTTCTTTTAAAAAGCATGGTTTTTTATGTCTTGTGGCATTTCACATGCATTGTTAATGATTTTTGAAATTGTAAAATTTGCCTTCCCAAACAAGAATGAGAATCTGACACTTGGATAACTTCATTATCTGAACTCATTACTGCTACAACTGTATATCAAATAGGTAGTTCAAAAAAACAATAATTGTACAAACCAGCAGGTTCAAAAAAATTTGCTTGCATAGGAGGCCTGTTAGGATTCAGCATCACTCTTGTTTTCCACACTTGGATACTTCCATCTTTGGACAGAGTGACAAGTAATCGCAACAGTGGTAGCCAAGAAAGCGACGTAATGGGCTGAGAACCAACCTGTGTGCTGGAATTGCATTGGAATAATGAATGGTCAGGAACCAACTCAACTAGATAAATGAAATAAACCGTCATAATTAATAGATATGAATATGAATATTGTAAGTCAAAATACGGTTCCACTACAACTTTATGAACAAGTCAAAAACAGTCCACAACTTGCCCAAACACTAACAGACACAACTTACATTCCAATCATCATAGGCCTCTCTGTGGATACATCCCATGCAACAAGTGTCCCACGCCTATCACCAATGAATAGCCATTCCAGTGTTGGGTGAAATGCAAAAGCACCAGCACCAATCAGCTTAATAGTATTATCAACTACAAAAATACAAAAAATAAAAAATAAAAAATTTATTCATGAAGCTAGAATATCAAGTGAGATCCTTTTCCAGTCCAATGAATGATAAAAATATATAAATATTCAAGGGCAGAAGGTTCATAGTGGTACGTTGTAAAGTGTAATGCACAGCATATGTATGGATATTGTAAGCTCGAATTAGACCTTCTGCATAAGCTACATACTGGAATCAAGAAAAAGAGTAAAGAATGTCAGATGACGGTTACAGGAAATTCAGGATGTCAAATATGGCAATAATAGATGTATATCAAAATCAAAGTCGTTTAGTTACCAAAACAGGAAGCCGAGGATGGCAAGCCAGATTGACAATAGGTTTCTTCAAGTCTGTCTTTATTTTTGTAGGCGCTTTCCCACCTTCAACAGTTCCAACAACTTCACCCAAGAAAATGCTAATCATTTTAGAACATTTAACGACACATTCAACAATAAAATTACCTTGAGTGCTATTTACTTTATACAGCAACTTAAGGTATAATGCAGGTTTTCTTCAAAGTGAAATGAAAAAATATTAAGAGAGGACAAGGTTGAATAATCTTTTTTTTTTTCTGATTTACAAAAACATCGGAGTGTTAGTATAAGCAGAAGATGTGCAACCACAAGCAGAGGGAGGGATGAGGAACTGCTCAACTACATTCCCTAAGAAAGTAAATGCCTTCACCCCCTTTTTATTTCTTGATAGACAGAAGAGGGTTTAAGTTACTTCCTCATTTCCACCAACTTTATAGAGGCTGAAACAACTGCACAATAATATTCTGTACAACACTTTTAAGTTTTGATTCCTCTCCTATTTACTACCTCTCTTCAGCAATTAAGAGGGAGGACCAGCCCCAAATCAAAAATCAGAGAAAATAAAATAAAACATTTTTAAAAAATAATTCTCACCTTGAATTGAAGATACAGTTGATAATAAAGAATAATAATGAAATACAGATTTTCTGTTTACCTTACGGCAGGAGAAACAAAGTGTCCAAAAAATTAAGATATGTCTAGTTCTACCCAGGAAAAACTAGAGTAAAACGACAGAAAGGATCAAGACTAGACAACCCACATTTGATAATCTACCAACCTGTGACACTCATCCTGCGATGGAAACCAAAAAATACTACAGGTTGAAGGGGAGTCAAGGCAAGATGGACTTCAGCATCAGAAGAAATGTGTTCCATCCTTTTTTCAGGTGAATGCAGAACACAGGTTTGCTCAGTATCAAAATCACATGATCGAATTGTACAGTCCTGCAGAGCAGAGGGGCAACCATCAGACACATACAAAATGCCAGCGAATAATAACAAGCATGTCCACAATTTTTACCAGCAAAAATGCGAATAGAAGCACCAAAAACAATGATAAAGAAAACAAAGAAAAAAACTAATTCATCTTGGTAAGCAAAACAATATATGGAACTTCAATATTCAGCACCATGTGAAGATTCAGAAATGTTAACCCATACTGTACGATACGTGGCTTCTGAAAATACAAAATCTGAAGTCAGAGCCGCTTAAGGAACTAACCTCAAGTATAGCAATAACAGCATTCCCACTAGTCGGACTATAAGCCATTCGAACAACGGGCGATCCAATATCTATGGCAGCGATCTTACATCCAGTGTATGCGTCAAATTCTGAAGATTCCAAAAGCATAATCACACAATAGTATAATGAAAGCATAGCACAGTATTCACGAGTGCTGGGAACGAGAAGGAGAAATCGTGCGAAGTGCAGGATTTACCGATGACGTAAGTGCCGACGGCGACGGATACGAGTGCCTGAATGGGGTGGAAAGCGGCAGCGTGAGGCTGCAAGGGTTTTGAGCTCCGGCCGACGTGCCGGAGATCTAAATGTTGAAGCGTGGTCCATTCCATCGATCTCTTCCCACAATTGAGCTCTCAGTTTCAGATCATGGAAATCGAGAAACGACCAGAAGACCAGTTCGAGGAACGAAAATTAGTAGCAATTCAGATCTCAGAACCTCAAAGACGTCCGTCAAAAACTCTGAGAAGATTACCGCAGTATCTTCACCTCTTCAAGTCTTCAACAACTAATCTACCTGAAGAGAAATGATTCAATGATAATGGAACCCAAAAATTTTGGGGCGAAATTCGCAGGAAAATAAAAGAAGAGATCTTTAAAAAAAATAAATTTAAAAAAAAAAACAAAAAAAAAAAAACAAAATAAAGGGACAGCAGACAACGTGATGAAATACCTAATTAGCCCCTGAAGTTTTAAAATGAAAACAATTAAAGTTTGCTTTAAACTCTGGGCCTCAGGCCCGCCTGCATTTAAGCCCATTTTTCATTTACCATTTAACTAATGGGCTTCGTTTTGCGGACTTTTCACCCCAATTCCTTGATGGACTGGCCCATAATTATTGGCTGCAAAGTTTCCTTGTTCCCGACTCTATTCGGGAGGGATCGTTATATTATGCACCGCGGTGCATAATCGATTATGCACCGCGCGTTAAACACTACAGTGTGTTTAAATTGACACTGTCAAAACAACATCGCTTTATTTAAGTAAAGAAACGGCCCGCCGTTAGAGTTAACGGAGTCCGTTTGTTTGGTGTATTAAGCACCAACTGACACTACAGTATATCTAAACTGACACTACAATTATATCAAAATGATACTGTAGTTATAGTGAAATGAAACTGCAGTGTATATAAAATGAAACTGAATAACATTTCACATATTTGAGTGTATATTGTACAATGAAGCTGTAATTATATCAAAATGATCATGTAGTTGTGTTTTAATGAAACTATAGTGTATATAAAATAAAATTAAATAACATTTTCACATATTTGAGTCTATAAATATCGAATGAAACTATAGTTATATCGAAATGAAACTGTAGTTGTGTTGAACTGAAACTGCAGTGTATACAAAATGACATTGAATAACAGAGTTACTTTTTGCAAAAGGGTGCGAAACGGCGAAAACAAACACTATTTATTTTCATTTAAAAAAAACGCGGGGTGCATAATCGATTATGCACCGCGGTGCATAATATAATTTGCCATTCGGGAGAATGTCGAGGTCGATAGTGCTATGTGGACCATAGTTGTCAAATGAAAATATAGTATAATTAAAATGTTATTTTTTAGTGTTGTTAAAATGAATTTAGTATGTGTTAAAAATGAAACTAAAAAACAAAGCTCATTCAACATAGTATATTGTCAAATGAAACTGTAGTATAATTAAAATGATACTTTAATATTTGTTAAAATGAAACTAGTGTGTATTAAAACTGAAACTAAAAAACATAGCTCATTCAACAATGTATATTGTCAAATGAAACTGTAGTATAATTAAAATGATACTTTAATATTTGTTAAAATGAAACTAGTGTGTGTGAAGAATGAAACTAAACTTCAAAGCCATACAACAACATATATTGCTAAATGAATGTGGAGTGTAATGAAAATAATACTTTAGCATTATTATAATTAAACTAGTGCGTGTGGAAAATAAAACTTCAAAATAAAGCTCATACAATAATGTATATTGTCAAATGAAACTGTAGTAGAATTAAAAGGAAAGATTTCGTTGAAATTGTTCGTTTGGAAATTTCCCAAGAAGCTAACCATGCTTTAGTATTACTATAATGAAACTAGTGTATGAAAAATGAAACTAAAAAACAAAACAATATTGTCAAATAAAACTAAAATATAATTAAAATAATATTTACTCCATGGATCACACTACTACATAGACCATGGTCCACAGTAAAATTTGCCGAAGAATGGTAAAATTTGACCACTAAATCAATTAGAAATATGAAAGTTAAATTGCTCCAATAGTCTCTTAAATCTTCAATTAAAAGTTTTGGAAGTTGGAGAGATATACTACTCCAATCACTCTAAATCACAATTCATCTAAACAACCTTTAAAGAGTCATTTGAGCAATGAACCGTCTGTCTCAACCGTTTCAAACACACCCTTCATCATCAACATCAACATCCTTTTTTTTGCAACAACCAGCATTATTATTATTATTATTTTATTAGGTTTAAACTAATCGACAGAAATACCATTTTTCATATTTGTATACATAATGTTACAAATGCTTGGTTTGAAATATATGTTTATACAAAAGAATTACAGCCCTTAACCAAAACGGTGGAGCATGCAAATTAATAGGGCCCGATGATTCGTGTGAATCATCAGTTGAAAACGTTAAAGGATGTCCGGTCAAACACCTCATTTCCCATTGCCTTATTTTGTTGGAAGATCGTCCTTAATCTGTCAACTTCATCGTTTGTCAACTTTTGTCAAAACTTGAATGACAATCGCCCTTCCGAGTCGTGGGTGACGAGGAAGATTTATCTTCCTAATTCGCATTCATAAATAACAATACATTTTTTTATTTTTGCGGGTACGTATATAAGGCTAAGGCAACATGATATGATTACGGGTTTTATAAATTTGTAAATTAATACGTTGTTTTGGATGTTCAAGATAGGAAATGATGGGGAAGGGGGCAATGTTGAGTTTTGTAGCGTTGCTTACAATGGCCCAGATGTTGGGACCTGGGGCTGCTTCGGCAGCAAAAAGAGGCAAAATGGTTACAATTCTGAGCATTGACGGGGGAGGTATTAGGGGGATTATTCCGGCCACCATTCTGGCGCATCTGGAATCCAAGCTTCAGGAGCTAGACGGACCCGAGGCGAGAATTGCAGATTACTTTGATGTAGTGGCGGGAACAAGCACGGGTGGGTTAATGACCGCCATGCTTACAGCTTCTAACAAAGATAACCGTCCCTTGTATGCTGCCAAGGACATTAACCCATTTTACAGGGAACATGGACCAAGAATCTTCCCGGCATTCAGGTTACAAAACTAAACTCTACCCAACTTAATTAGTTGCTTGGTTCTCAGATTTGTTACGTACTGAGATTGATTGATTGATTGATTGCATATGTGTTTGTTTGTGTGGTTAAGCCGAAACAACTTCCTGAAGAATTTAGGCGGGCCCAAGTACGACGGGAGGTATCTGAGAGGGCTGGTCAAGAGATTACTAGGAACCAGAACAATGAGCGAAACGCTAACATGTATTATTATACCCAGTTTCGACATTAAACGCCTTCAGCCTGTTATGTTCACTACAACTGACGTATGTATATATGACCATCGTCAAACCAAAAAAAAAAAAAAAAAAAAAAAAAAAAAAAAAAATGATTGCAATTCTTCTCTATATATATATATGCATGCTTACATTCTGGAATATTATGTATGTGCAGGCAAAAGCAAATGCCAGCAAGAATGCTCAGCTATCAGATGTGTGTCTGGGTACATCTGCAGCGCCAACTTATTTCCCACCTTACTATTTCGAGACCAAAGACGAAGCCGGAAATATATGGAAATATAATCTCATTGATGGGGGAGTTGCTGCTAACAATCCAGTAACAACTCATTAGAATGAATACTATCAATTTTTTTTAACGTTTCTTTCTGCAACCTGTTTTTGACTTTTATACATCTATACTATATACTATACTATATATACAGACTATGATGGCCTTAACCCACATCTCCAAGGAAATCTTGACGGGAAACGTTCAGTTTAGTAAGATGGAGCCATTGGACACCAAGAGAATGCTGGTTTTGTCATTGGGCACGGGGGCGGCTAAGAATGAAGAGAAGTATGACTGTGCCAAGGCCTCATCATGGGGTGTGCTTAGTTGGGTATTCTACAATGGCAACTCTCCATTGATAGATATCTATGGAGCTGCCGGTGCTGATATGGTGGACATTCATGTTTCCACCCTCTTTCAATCCATAAAAGCTGAGAGGAATTATCTCAGGATTCAGGTACTAATAAAAAAGTGTCTATGCATGCAGCTCTATCATTCTATGTTCCATGGACACTGACTTTTTTTAAACTTGAATTGGCAGGATGATATGCTGACAGGGGCATCATCATTTGTTGATATTGCAACCACAGAAAACATGGAAATGCTTGAACAGATAGGACTTAATATATTGAAGAAACGAGTTTCTCGGGTAAATCTGGATACAGGAAGATATGAGGAAGTTCAAGGGGAGGGAACCAATGAAGAAGCTCTAGCCCACTTTGCAAAGATGCTTTCAGATGAAAGGAAGAGTCGACATGCCAACTAAAACGATACATACATACCATTTGCCAGAACTTCTGTAATCTCACTATTTTATCTTCAGTTCAGAGTCTAACTAAAAGGGACTTGTGTAACACAATTTTTTCACAATACTTCGATTTTCCAGAAAATGCCACGCTCAAACATGAGTGCACAAGTATTTGCAATCAAGAAATTGCCCAAATCGCACAGGGTAACGATATCAATTCACAAAGCATGTCTAAATTGCCACAGAGTATATAAGCATGTCTAAATTGCCACAGAGTATATAAGCATGTCTAAATTGCCACAGAGTATATATATACTAAACGCAAAAGGGTTGTAATCAATTTACTAGCCTGTAGCTCTACAAGTTCAGACAAAATTCAGTTCAAGCCTGTGTTCAACATATGCAGGCTGAAATGTGTGTGAAATTCTGCAAGAAAAAGCCTGCACAAAGGTAAATAAAAGAAACAATAAGTATGAAATCAGTTGGAAATGAAACAAAAAGCTAGAGGGAGATTAAGAAAATCATCCATCCTAACATCTTGAAACTCTTTTAATAATACTAGTAAAATGCACATACGTCGCACGCATTAGAATGTGATAAAATTCTAGTGTATTATTATGCTCAGCATTCAAACTGAATAGGTAAATAATTAAATATTATTCTACATACAAATTTAATTAAGAAGTTTTACTCCAAATATTTATTTAATTAGATTATAAAAACTAGTTCATATAATTACAAATATTGTATTAATCAAAACTACTAATACTGGAACACCTGAACCAGTTTTGCAAGAATTAAACTGAACCAATACTATTAGCAACCTCCAATCCTCCTTACAACATCAATCTGACAAACTCTAGCCTAAATTTCAGTGAGATTCAGAATGCTTCCTGTAAAAATTCACTTACCATATTGCTGTTGAGGAGGCTACTGGAACATTCTGGAGTATGCCTTCTTCTCCTGATTTTGTCTATCAGCAATCTGCAAAGTAGTTAATTTAATTATAAAAACATGCACAGAAGATAACATACCGGCATATATATATTTTTCCAATACAATGAAAAGAAAGGATATGGTAAATGTTTCATTAAACAAATTTTATCAAGTTGGAAATCACTGACCTTCTTCCTTGCTGCAGCAAGCTCCTTTTTTATACCACCTGAAATAAACATAAAAATCAACTAAAATAACCCATTGCTTACTAGATTGACATAACTATATCAAATGTCACTCACCATCACTTGGATCCAATTCAGAAGCTTTCTTGAAACTTTCAGCTGCTGCATCAATGGCATTGAGTCCCATGTGTGCCTGAAAATTAGTAATATGTAATTCAAATATCTTGGCATGTACAGAGAAATAGCACATTACAGTATTAAAGTTGTAAAGATATGAAGGTTTGGACCCCTTAATAATAAGTTAATAACAATAACAATACCTATAACAAGACAATAACATATACAGTAATAAACACTATGAAATTGTGGCTACTCAAAAGAATATAGACTGGAAACACATTGACTGCTTCTTCCTTTCAACACGGTTAACAAGGTTTTAACATTTGATTGTGACAATACAACCCAGAGTGCTAGGTATTTCCAGATGAGTATAAAGGATGTATCACAAGTTGCAAGGAAATAACAAACATTACAATAAGCAGGATGGATGTACAGCGAATTAGTACTAAGAAATACAAGAGCATATGTTGCATGGAACGCTATAGATGAGCTGAGTACAAAGAGAACTCTTGCCAGATTGCATAGATCAAAGATGAAAATCAAATTCATTTAGAGGTGTTGCTGCAGAATAGCTACCTGTCCTTGGCGATAAAAAGCTTTGGCATTATCTTTAGCATCCCGAATGGCAAAATCAGCATCCAACAGTGCTCCATCAAAATCTCCTAGCTTCAATTTACAGGCCTGGAACAAGCATGTTCAGTATCATTTCATTTGTTGTCAGTTATCAATGACCTCTGAGAAGTAAAATATTCTGAACAAACAAGAGGAAGAGTAAGAGAAGTGTGAAATAACTTACAGAACAATTTGAAAAGATCTGAGACCTCATATTCATCAAAGTCTTTATATTCACTGTCCAATCAGAAGATGTAATCTGAGAATCAGAAAGACTGCACAGTTTGTCATGACCCAAAACAAGTAGCTTACCATTATCAATGTTGTTCTTCTCCCAACAGATTTCCAAGTAGTGAACAGCTTTGGTATACTTTCTTATAGCCATTTTGTAGTCTTGCTTCTACATGTGGAAAACATAAAGATACAAATAATCATAAGGCTAATGAATAGTACGAGCAGGCCCCTATCTTCCACAAGAACATTTTGTTCATTTAAACATTAGTCATTAAACAAGACTAAACACAATGTGGTCCAACCAAAGTGCTCTCAAGTGCACATTCATTGCACAGAACTTATTGTCATCAACAAAAAATTAGGAAAAAATAAAAATTCAAATTACCTTGTAGTGTTCATTCCCAACAGCTTTGATACTGTTTGTAGCATTAATCCACCATGAAACCTCATCCGGTTTCACATCAAGATCAAGCGTCCAGTCAGGATAAGTGTCACCGTCTTTAAAGAAATTACATGTTCCATCATCCTCTCCTTCTGGAATTTCCCCACAATCTTCTATAAGAACATTGACATCAGGATAATCATTTGCCCCTGTAGGTACACGTTCAATCGTACGAATCAATCCCAATCCTTTGATGACCTTTCCAAATACCACATTCTTCCCATTCAGATGAGTCAGTTGAGATGTAGTAATGAAAAACTGAGAGCCATTCGTATTAGGACCAACATTGGCCATTGACAGCATTCCTTTTCTTTCATGCTTCATCTCAAAATTCTCATCATCAAATTTAGACCCATAAATGGATTCTCCACCAGTTCCATTTCCAGCTGCCACATCCCCACCTTGTATCATAAACCCCCTAACAATACGGTGAAAGCAAGTACCCTGCAAATATCATTAGCCCTACTCAGAACCAAAGCAGATTAAAATATGAATACAAGCAGAATTACAGTAAACAAAACATCGTCATGTTGCCATGATAGGCAACAGAACTCACAATCGTGATCATTATTTTATTATTTCAATAGGCATATACATTTCATCGGAATCCGAAACTTAGAAATTCCCATCCATCACAGATTCACAGTACGGCGGAAACGGTAAATATATTTTATCATAATCAGATTAGTTTCGATAAAAGTAAATAGTAATCCTCCAAGCACAAATTTCCTTTATTATTCATTACTACATTTCATTCCGTCTCGAACCTCGAAGTATTACGACTTCAACCAACGAACTTAGTCCAACTATGAATCTATGATCAAAGTTCCGGAGTGCCTCTTCAAAGCTCACAAATAGTTGAAACAGTAATATAACAAACCAAACCAGATAGATTCACGTAACATATGCAAATGCAGGTATGAAGAAGAAGGAAACGGACCTTATAATGGAGGTTAACGCCAGTTTCAGCGCTAACGCCGCGCTCTCCAGTACAGAGCGCCCTGAAGTTCTCGGCGGTTTTCGGCACAACATTCGCGAACAGCTCCACCACTATCCTCCCTTCCATCTCTCCCCCTATGCTTATGTCCAGGAAGCACCTCGGGTTCGCCATCTTCTCTCTGTGTCAAAGGATTGCAGTTTGCAGAAACGGACGGCTAAAACCCAAAACCCAAAAGAGGAAGGGAAGGAGACAGCGAAACGGACTGGAGATATGGGAATGCGAAAAAACCGGCTGACGGTACAGTATGGTCTGCGCGTCGTGGAGCAATGATCGCGTGCACCACTTCGCTGAAACCACAACCGTCAATTTTATCCTTTTGCGACAACTGCAATCGCCCTACCCGTTGGATGAACCTGTTCTCTTACAAACAGCCCATTTTAGGTAAATGAACAATTTTTTATACGGAAACAATATCAGACATTCAGACCCCTGTACGTCTTATTACCCCCACTAATTTTGACTTGTATGAATTCGTTATTATTTTTAACTTTTGTGGATAACTTTTGTACAAGATACATTTGTATAATAATTTTTAAATTTTATAAATGATGAACTCGAATAAAAGAATGTTAATAAGAATCAGACTTGTAATTTTTATGCCTAAGAGTAAAAATAATGACATTTATAACACAAATATTAAATTCATATGTAACTATATATTATTCCCGGTGTATTAATGCTTGGGAAAACAGAGATAAGAGTTAGATAGGAACACATACTAATTTTTTTTTTAAAAAAATGCAATTAAGATATAAAACTAAAAATAGTCACAATTAAGCGTTTGAACTAAGAAAAAATATATGCAAATTGAGTGTTTTTGACTTATTTTTACAAGTAAAGATTGTATTATACTGGTGAGGCATCCACAAATATTTTTCTTTTAAATTTAAGACTTATTTCACATTTGTGTCCGCATTTCTCTTTATAATAAAATTATTATTATTGGATATCAAAAGATATTATGTGGGCAACTTCAAAAAAGTTGGTTAGGTCATTCATTTGGTAATCACTAGGTTACAAATTTGACTCCAAGAGAAAGTGATCTATTAACCTCCATGGTTAGTTTATCTCATTGTTGTCCATCGATGGCTAGAGTTACAAGATGAAGTTTATGTTGTATACCCTCAGATAGTGACTATAAATTTTTCTTTTTTTGAAAAAGATACATTTTGTTTTTTTAATCAAATCTAAATAAAAAAAAAATTTAAAAATTTCTTTTGCCCTTTCATGTAGCAATAACTGTCTGCCCACTATTCTTAACTTGGTCTAAGCAAGGATGACAACTGCGTAGGGCGGAGCGAGGAGTATACTACCCGTCTCGACCAGGGAATTAAAGAAAAAATTATGTTTCTATTCTCATAGAGAATTAGACGAGGATAACCTAGATTTTCCGTTCCTAGTCAAAGTCTCTAATTAGTATAATTCTTAATAATCAAATAAAAAATGTTAAAATTGTTAATTACTTAATAATAATTAAAAGAAAAGTATATATGTGTGCATGTGTGCGCGTGCGTGCGCGTGTCGTGCGGGGTCGGGTCGGATCGAGATGGGGTATCTTCGTCCCCCAAAAAAATTTCTATCCCCATCCCAATTAGGGCGGGGATTGGGGATCGATGTTGGAGACCGAGAAAATTGAAATTGCAGACAAAAA